CCCCAAAACCCCAAAACCCCAAAACCCCATTCCTTTGCTTGTCTATTGGTTATTTAAATATATTATCAAATATGAGGAAAACTTTACTCAAGCGTGAGGGTAAGCTTAGCCAAGCCATCATAAGACCTCTTGGCACAAAGCTGGAGAAATCATTATGAAGCTGAAGGCCTATTGGGTGCTTCTTTGATGATAGCAATCAAGAGATAGAGATTTCTAAAGTTCATGCTTTTAGCCATAGCATACCTGCATTTAATTTATGCTAGTGAATTTGATTTTGGATAAAACTATACCTGGGCTTGGAGTTATTTCAGTTCTGAATTATTCTTGCTTCATTAATTTATGTGTAGACTACAAAATTATTGAGAAGAGAAATCAAGTAGAATGAACCACGACCATTACCAGAGTTAGCATCAGCTTATTTTTAGAGGAAATATCATGAAGAAGAGATCCAGGTCCTTTCAGATAAGAAGGAGATTAATTCTGATCAACAGGAGTGGCTTAAAATGTTTCTGCAATGGTAAGCATCTAGTATGAATTTACTAACTTAAGGTTTTCTTACACTCATGAAGCAATTTATGAAATTTTCATTTATCAGCTATATTTTTAATTTTATTATCAATTTGAGCTTTAAAAATTTCCTACTAATAAACCAGGTTTGGCACTAATCAGATAGCAATGAAGAGTTATAATCAAAATTGCTGATTCTTCATAAGGCTCTACTAGAGACTTTTTGGGGGTTATTGGAGAGTTAGTCTCTCAATCGGAATAACCTATCTTCTCAGAATTTTCTACTAATCCCATTACCATGATTATTATAGGTTAGGAATAATTTCAAAAGATCCAGAACTTGACCTGCTCATTGATGAGAAGATCAAGGAAAGTGTCACTGTTAAGTATAAAGTACCTATCAGGATCTTCATGATCATTGTTTGCTGAGCCTCGCTTATAATCTGAGTCTCTGCTCCTAAGAGTAATTAATGTTACTAATAATTTTAGCAAGCGAAGATGAAGAGGGCTTTTCACAAGTAGCACAATATGGGATGTATTGGATCCCATTTTTCATAGTCGTCACTATTGTCATGGATTATTATCCTAAAATATTGATTTATGCAAAGCCTCCAGTGATTCTGATGGTGTTCATATCCACTGCTGACATAACTTTTCATGATGACGCATATCCTTTCCATAGGATTTTAATATTAATGGTCAGCTTCAACTATGCGATTTCTATTCTAATCCCATATTTATCACTTCTGAGTTCTTTCTGCTTCTTTGTTGGCAACCTGTACGTAATCCTGGGAATCCATCTCTACTCAGATAAAGGTGATGCCATGACATATGCAGTTCTTCTAGCCTGCTGACTCCATTTCACAGTGTCAAATAAAATTCTTGAAAATAAGCAAAGATCCCTCTATACTGAGATTTTGAAGAGAAAGAGACAGAGTAAGGAGCTTAAGAAGATCCTGAAAATATTCCCCATGGGCGTTGTCATTACTCCAGAAAGAAAAGCTAGCTCTAACTGGTACGCTAATGATGAATTTGAGAGGAAATTTTGCAAAATTCAAGATGATTTGGAAGAGCTGTCTTGAATTGTAGTGACTCCAATGAAAGAACAAGATTCTAAAGAGGAACACAAACAACTCAGCCAAGGACTTGACAGGTTTCTAAGAAATCAACAGCACCTTGCTTCAAAGAAACTTTCATTGGCAAGTCATAACTTGCACATCAGATGTGGTGACCAAATGAATTTTGGGGTGTTTGAAAGTCAAGAGCTAGATGAGTATTCTAGAATTTGCAGCGTTGAAACTCTCAAAGTTGATTGGGAGTCAGAACCCTCTTACTTACATGTCTTCATTGATAATACAAATGTAATTCAACTGCAAGAAGCCAAGAACAACATCAAGTGTCAGAACATCATGTTTGCAAGCGCCAGTCACGAGTTCAGGACGCCTCTTAACGCAATCATTAACTCTTTCAAAATCATTGAGAATTCGTACCAAGGCATTCTTCAAGAAATCGGTGGTCTGGCTCACCAACTTGAGGGAATGTCTTCAGAGCTTCTGGAATTACATTCGGAGCAGATTCAGAAGTTCTCGAGCATCGGCAAGCACTCGTCGTCGCTGATGCTGTCTCTGGTCGATGACATTCTGGATCTGTCGAAGATGGAAGTGGGGACTTTCCAAATCAATAAGGCCTTGTTCTCAGTTCCAGATATGCTCTCTCTCACAGCTGAAATTGTACAGCCACAGTGAGATCAAAAGAATATAAAGATGCAGATCGATATTGACCCTCGTATCAGGAGAGTTAGAGTTTACTCTGACGAGAAGAGAATCAAACAAGTTCTGATAAACCTGCTATCGAACTCATTAAAATTCACATTCAGTGGCTCAGTCACTTTGAGCTGTAAGCAGGTTTTGATGGGTGAAAAACTATTTGCAAAGTTTATGGTCAAAGACACTGGAATTGGAATCAGCCAGAAACAACAAGCTAAGCTATTCAAAATGTTCAGCATGGTAAAGTACACAAATCAGATTAATCCAAATGGGACAGGACTCGGATTAACTGTGAGTAAGAAATATGTAGAAGCACTTGGAGGATCAATCAAATTAAAGTCATCTAAAGGAGCAGGAACTACAGTGTCATTTCACATTCCTCTCGAAGACCCTCCTATAGCTCTACCTCATATCGATGAAAATGCTGAACATTTCCAGAGGTAATTTCTATGAGTCTAACTCTATAGCTTGGAATCAGTGGTATCCTTCGATTTTATTGAGAGGGTGCATGATATCAAAGATTTTCACACTCAGACGCCAAGATTTAATCTTCCATAATGGTACAACCTTATATTAATTACATGGGGTTTTGGGGTTTTGGGGTTTTGGGGTTTTGGGG